TTAGTACAGGAGGAAACTCAATTCCCATCTCCACCTAAGTGTCCCAGAGCTCTTGAATCTCATTGCACTGCCTGCTAGTTCTTGGGACAGACATCATAATCTTGCTCAGTCTCTCTGGAGGGGACTTCTAATTATACTCTTACTTAGTGTTGCCTCATTATGGCTTCTAATTCTTGGGGCTTCTCAGTAGTAAGCAGCTCTGCCTTGTGTAATGTTTGGGTAACACCAATTCACTCAGGATTGTTCCCTCTGGAGAACCAGTGAATTATCAGTTAAGTGTCTAACACGTAATTAGGCTTTGGAAAGAAAGACAGTAAGACATACTATTGTCCTTAAAGGAATAATGGTCAAGGTGAGACAGACATAAACAATAAATAAGATAGTCCATCCAGGAAGTCCCCATGAGTGGGTGCTGCGTGTGGAGTGGTCAGGGAAAGCCACAGGGAGGAGGTGCAGCAAGCCAAGTGTGGATGGCTTATGTATCATGTTGAATGAGTATGCCAATCCTTAGCCTAAGGCATGGCAAAAACACATCACGTTCTCTGACATGGAAAAGGACAATCTTTGAAGTAGGAGATAAAGCTGGAGAGGTAAAATGAGATAGATAATAACACACACACACACACACACACACACACACACACACACACAAACATACATTAACTATATACCACTCTCAATTTAAATGTTAATTAAAAGTTGATGGAAATCCATTGACAATAGAGATTTTCAGTTGAGAAGTGACCTGTACCCCATAGTAGAAGAGAATAAAGGGGTCTGTTTATATTTCTGCATAGTGACCTGCCCAAAGCACAGTGCTTTAATATAGCTCACTTTCTTTAGTTAACAGTTGTGTTGGCTGACAATTTGGGTTGTGCTTAGCTGGGCTTAATCAAGTGCCAGTTTGGCTTGGGGGTTACTTGCTCTTCACTGAGGTCAATCCTGCAACTATCTAGGTGGGGCCTGTATGCATGCTGCTGGAAGATCCAGGACAGCTCAGGCGCCACTGTTTACATGTTTGTCAAGTTCCTGCTTGTGTCATGTTCACCTTGTACCCTGATGCTCAGCGCAGTCACATGGATAACCCCAGAGTGGAAAGGTATTCAGAGTTATCCAGAAAGGGCGTAGGCACAGGAAAGTGAATAAGTGGTAGCTATTTTTGCAGGCACCACAAGGCCACTGTTTGGATGGTAAGTGTCCAGTGTAGAGGGAATAGCTTTATATAGTTAAAATGGACATATAATAAATGTTAGGGTTTGGGCCAGTGATGCAGGCTGTGAAAGAATTCACAACTAAAAGAAGAGATGCAGATAGGGTGCATTGCCAATCAATACAAGGGCAAGAAACAAAAAAGCGGCTTCCCCTTTTAAGCCCTGGTTATTGCTAAGCAACAAGGGTGAGAGGAGGATTTGAGGGCTGAAATTGAGCAAACATCAGGTGGGGGTGTGGGGGGGTTGTAGTTTGTTCTTCAGGAGACAGTCGGGGCAGGGCAGATGTCCTAGGGAGGTGTCTTACTGGTATTTTCCCCACAACTGTAAAACATGCTTAGAGCAGAAGTTATGAAGAGGCTTGTTTGAAGGGGAATGAAGAAGGGCACTTTCTACTAATTATCCCTGAGTTGGGAAAACAGCAGGCGGTATATGCAAGACGATAGCCTTGAAAGTGACTTATCTTGTCCCTCAGTTTGAACAGAGGGGCTGCACTTTCCTTTCCTTGAGTCTTCAGAGTTATGGTAGATCAGTGGTTCTCATCCAGCAGTGGTTTTCCCCTTAGGGGCATTTGGCAATGTCTGGAGACATTTTTTTAAAAATATATTTTATTGATTTTTCACAGAGAGGAAAGGAGAGGGATAGAGAGTTAGAAACATCGTTGAGAGAGAAACATTGATCAGCTGCCTCTTGCACACCTCCTACCGGGGATGTGCCCGCAACCAAGGTACATGTCCTTGGCTGGAGTCGAACCTGGGACCTTTCAGTCCACAGGCCAATGCTCTATCCACTGAGCCAAACCAGTTAAGGCTGGAGGCATTTTTAAGTGTTAAGACTGGGGCGTGAGGGTGGGGGAAGCCACTGGCGTCTAGTGTATAAGGCCTTGGATGCTGCTAAATTTTCTACTACTATGCATAGGACAACCCCCCCCCCCCCATTAAGAATTATCTGGCCCCAAATGTTAACAATACCCAAATTGAAAAACAGTGATAGAATAATACTCCCTACCAGGAACTAATTGAAAGATGGAGGACAAATCAGATAGTGCTCTAGGCTCATTAGTATGGTCCTATGCTCTTGGCTTCATCTAACCTGCCCAAGGCACCAGGACCAGGTGCTTGGTAGAACGGCTGGTAGTAAGACCTTGCACTGAATAAAGTGATTCTTTTTTGTAGCATCCTGACAATAGGTCTACCTCTTTTTGGCATAAGATGGGATCACAAATAAATGCAGTGTTCATAAATACGATGTCCACTACTTTTTGAGATTTTGTATATTAGACACTTAATAATAATTTTCTGCCATCACCCCAACAACTATTTACACATAAGGAACCTGAGGCTGCATCCTAGCTGGTTTGGCACAGTGGGTAGAGCGTCAGCCTGTGGACTGAAGTGTCCTAGTTCGATTCCAGTTAAGGGCAGGTACCTCAGTTGCAGGCTTGATTCCCAGCTAATCAGGAGGTGGGGGGACGCAACTAATCAATGTGTCTCTCTCACATTGATGTCTCTCTCTGTCTCTCTCCCTCTGCTCTTTCTCAAAAAAAGAAAAATGGAGAAAATATCCTTGGATGAGAATAAAGGGAGGGAGGGAGGGGGGATCTGAGGCTGCTTAGAGATAGTCAGTGTCCTAATAAATGGTAAAGTGAGGATTCAAACATTGGAGTCTGAATCCAATGACCAAGAGGGTTCCACAGGCATCAAGACAACCCAAGACAGATATTTAAGTTTTTTAATTTTTGCTCAGTTTAAGAGATTCTCCCAATGGAGCTGAACCAGTATAAAAGATGCTTTGTTTTCCCAGTTCCCTGTTGTAGGGAGTCCTTGTCTGGGGCCATTTCCTGGTCTAATCCTTAGTCTCTAGGTCCAGTCTCTGACCAGCATGTGGTGCTCTTAGGATTGAGGCTTGCCTTTGTGGCTTTCTTGGTGCTTTAAGTCAGAGTTCTGGAGATGTATTCAATCAATCCCATCTAAACCCATGGCCTGATAAACTCCAGCCAGTTTTTCTAACTGTTCTGCTGATACTGGATCCCTCTCATGCACTGTGTGCCCCCTTGTCCCCCCTCCACTTCCCCTCCCCCCCCCACCACACACACACACACACACACACACACACACACACACACGGTAGTGCAAGCTATAGTAGTTAATAGAATTTAAGGCAGAGAAGAGTCCCTGGCTGGCTGTTTATAATCTCTGCACCTTTGTGTGGTCAACATAGACCTCCTTGGTGGTCCTCATGGATCTTATGGTGGCTAACAATTACTGAGTGCTTGTGTCAGACACTGTTCTGAGCTCCCTTATGTGTAACATTTAATTCCTGCCAGAACTCTAGGAAATGTATTGTCATCCCTATTATTATGGGTGAGGGTATGGAGGCAGAAAGAAGTAACTTGAGCAAGATTACACCACTTGTTAGTGAATGATGAAAATATGTGAGCCCAGAGCCCTCTTAGTCACTATGCTATGCTGCCCCTCAATATATAAGTGCTATGAAAACTGGAATGAGTAAGAGGATGGTGGCCAGGGTAGGCCTCTGAAGAGTGGATAGTTTTTTGTTTTGTTTTTAAATCTTTATTGTTGAAAGTACTACATAGATCCCCTTTTTGCTCCCGTTGACCCCTTATAACATCCCCCACCCCAGGCCTCCACCACCCTATTGTCTGTGTGAGAGTGGACAGTTTTGACTTGAAGCCTAACTTGTGAGAGAAAGCCAGGCATGAGCATATTTGGTGAAGCATGATCCAGGCAAGGAAGGCAGAAAGTGAATTGCTTTGGACTCTTTATTTCAGATCTGCTGGCTCATGGATCAACAAAAATCAGAATTTTCTTTTACAGTAGACACTACAAAGAAGTTTCTTATTAAAGTCCTCAGTATAGGTCAGTGGCCACCACAGGCAAGATACACTAAGTAAAATTTTATGAGGTCACAGGTCAGTATGAGATAGTTCAGATAGCAGTTCCAGACAGACCAAGGAAAACATGGCCCAGTGGGTATGGTGATTTGTTTTAGCTAGAACATAACAGAGGGGTAAAGATGAGTTAATGTGTAGACATTTGTTGTCATTCTTCTCCCCTGCTGCATTCCTTGACTTGCTTTCTCCTCCTTTGATGCTTGCAGGAATCTGCATTCTTTTTATTGATTTTTGAGAGAGGCAAGGAGAGAGAGAGAGAGATGGTGGGGGCGTGGGGGGGGGGCGGAGAGAGAAATCAATTAGTTGCCCCAGAGTGGGGATTGAACCTACAAACTGAGTATGTGTCCTGACTGGGAATTGAACCCTACACCTTTTGGTGCATGGGACAACGCTCCCATTAACCGAGCCACACTAATCAGGACAGGAGTCTGTGTTCTGGAAATAGTTTATTTCCACAAGAGGTGTAGTAATTGGTTGGCCATTCTTTTTTTTATTTTTTATTTTTTATTGCTTAAAGTATTATATATGTCTCCTTTTTTTTTCTCCCCTTGACCCTCCCCTAGCCTCCCATGCCCCCCAGTGTCTTGTGTTCATTGGTTATGCTTATATGCATGCATACAAGTCCTTTGGTTGATCTCTTACCCCCCACCCCCACCCCCCAACCCTCCCCAGCCTTCCCGCTGTAGTTTGACAGTCTGTTTGATGTTGCTCTGCCTCCGTATCTATTTTTGCTCATCAGGTTATAATGGTCTTAATTATCCATAAATGAGTGAGATCGTGTGGTATTTTTCTTTCATTGACTGGCTTATTTCACTTAGCATAATGCTTTCCATTTCCATCCATGCTGTAATTGGTTGGCCATTCTTTTTCCTTGGTAGATGGTGAGCCTTTGGGTGTGCTACTTCAAGTTCGTCTTTGGTCAGGAATATCTGCTAGTATGTCATGGTAATATTTCTTCTCTATGTCTTCAGACTACATATTTAGGAATACTAATTATCAGCACTTTGGATCTCTGTTGTCCTTAACTTGCGTGATCTCACCAAGATTATGCTCTGCTGAAAAGTCTCCTCAGAGCCTTTTTTATGTCCCTGTTCCTCAGACTGTAGATGAAGGGGTTCAGCATGGGGGTGACCACCGTGTACATCACTGAGGCTACTGAACCCGTTCTGGAGGGTTGTTTTGTTCCCGATGTGAGATAGACCCCAAGGCCGGCACCATAAAACAAGGAGACAACTGAGAGGTGAGACCCACAGGTGGAAAAGGCTTTATACTTACCTCTAATAGATGAAATGCCCATTATGGAGGAGACAATTCTAGAATAAGAAAAAAGAATCCCAGTCAAGGGAATAACACCCAGCAGGCTAGTTACAAAATATTGTAGGATGTTGTTGGCAAGGGTGTCAGAGCAGGCAAGCTTGAGGATCTGAGCAAGTTCACAGAAAAAGTGAGGGATTTCCGTCTCTTTGCAAAAGGATACCCTTAATACCATCAGACTTTGCAACAAAGAATAGGTTAGGCAGATTAACCAAGAAAGCAGAAGCAGGGTACTACAAAGGCGAGGGTTCATGATGACCGTGTAGTGCAAGGGGTGACAGATGGCCACAAACCGGTCATAGGCCATCACTGTGAGTAGCAAATCATCTAGCCCAGCAAAAAGCATGAAGAAATACATCTGGGTGAGGCAGCCTTCATACATGATGTCTTTGCTCTGTGTCTGGATGTTCACCAGCATTTTCGGGACGGTGGTGGTCGTGAAACAGATGTCAGTGAAGGACAGGTTGGAGAGGAAGAAGTACATGGGCGTGTGCAGGTGGGAGTCAGAGCTGATAGCCAGGATGATGAGCAGGTTTCCTACAACACAGACTAGGTACATGTAAAGGAACAACCCAAAGAGGAGGGGCTGCAGGTCCACATCTTCTGAAAGTCCCAGGAGAATGAATTTTGAAGTAGCTGTTCGATTTCCTGCTTCCATATACATTTATGGGAATTGCCTGAAGAGAGGCAAGAATTATGTTAAGACAGTAAAAAAGCAGGAATGTGCCATCTATTTAAAACTCATTAAGTTTTATGTTTTATCTGAGAGTTTTATTTTCTTAAGTTGACGAAAATATCTTCAATAATACCGTTTCTTTCCTGCTTCCATCACTACCTGGAACAGTGGCTCTTTTTAAAAAATATATTTTTATTGATTTCAGAGAGGAAAAGAGAGATAGAAACATCAATGATAAGAGAGAATCATCCATCGGCTGCCTCCTGCACGTTGCACACGGGATTGAGCCCGCAACCCGAGCATGTGCCCTGACCTGGAATGGAACCATGACACCCTGGTTCATAGGTCGACACTCAACCATTGAGCCACACCAGCTGGGCTGGAACAGCTACTTTTTAAAATTAATGTCCCACACTAATTAATTAATGTCCCACAACCCAAAGAGGAGGGGCTGCAGGTCCACATCTTCTGCAGGGTTCTTCTTTGCATTGTCCCTGACTACTGGCTAGTCCACCTCTATAATTCCTGTAAAAGGACAATCAGCCTCCTGAATGTCTCCTTTCTACCTTGTGCTGTGGTCTCTTTGGGTCCCAGGGAAATGTAGAGTATGGGAAGATCACTGGGAGTTGCAGAATTTAATGCTTTTTAAAAATATATGTTTTTTATTGATTTCAGAGAGGAAGGGAGAGAGAGAAATAGAAACATCAATGATGAGAGAATCATTGATCAGCTGCCTCCTGCACACCCCATACTGGGGATCGATTCCGCAACCTGTGCATGTGCCCTTGACCGGAATCAAATCCGGGACCCTTCAGTCCACAGGCCAATGCTGTATCCACTGAGCCAAACCAGCTAGGGCTTTAATGCTTTTTTTTAAAGACAAAGTTTATTTAGAAAGTTAGAGGTAGTAAAAGTGAGCCTTAGAAAATGGGCTTAGGAAACATGTTACAGAGGCAAAACAAGGGCCTTGGAGCTTAGGAAAGTACACTCAAAGATTCTAGTGGGTGTGCTCTGGGGGGAGGGGAGAGAGACAGAGAAAGCTAATTGTGTTTTTTCTTTGCCCTCATGACATTTGCCAGTATCTTGAACTAGACCATTCTCCATCTCAAGATTGACCCAGAGAAGGTTATTGGGAAAAGATTTTATAGATAATTCTTTCAATATTATAGAAACTTTATTACTGTCCCAACTTATCCCTCTGCCATTGTAATGATCAGTGTACCATAATACACTCAATTCCCAAGACCAATTCAGACCATTTTGTGTCCTGCATGGTTGTGTTGCAGTTCTTTAACTTTCTTTAGGTTGGGAGAACTATGACTTTCCTGTTTCATTTTCATTCATATCCCAAGCACTTAGCACAGTACCTGGTACATAATAGGTGCTCTGTAAGTATGTGTTAGAAGAGATTTTCAGGGCATAGTAGAGGCAGTTCCCTATAGAAAACCTTTAATCAAGAACAAAGACACCATTTATAATGAAGGCTTTTCAGTTGAACTTAATGAGAATGAGAGCTTCCTTCCTAAGCAGACTAGTGAAAGTAATTACAAAGTAATAGCTCAGTAGTTTAAAGTACATACAAGAAAATTTGTAAAAGATTAATGAAGAAGAACAGGCACTTTAAGAATGGGAATAGACATAAATACAGGAATTGGCAAAAGTAGATTTACGGTTGTATGTGAAATAGTTCTTTTTTTCTCCTTTTATCTTTTTCATCACCATGCAGTTTATTCTTATATTATTTGTAAATTGTATTATTTTCCATACAAACTAATGTAAACCTACTTTTGCCCACACCTGTATATAGAGGGATCAATGGAACAAATTGAACAGTCAAGAAACAGATACTAGCCAATATGAGAATTTAATATATATATATATATATTACAAATTAACCCATAAAAGGTAAATGATATAATTAACAATGTTTAGAAAACTCAGTAACTTTTTAAACACCTCAAAATAAATAGTAAGAAAGAAGTGACTGGCAAAATTGAGAACAGAACACTATAGATAATATATGTATGTGACTTCCTGAAGTGTAAAAACTTCCTACGCAGACCAGTGAAAGTAATTACGAAGGAATACATCAGTAGTTTAAAATACATACAATAAATCATTCGTTTGTCAATAATACCACATGACATAAAAAGGCAAATTCAAATCTGAGGGAGGGAGAACTTATAACTTATGAGAAAATATAAAAGTGCAGTAACTTACAAAGCTCTTAAAAATAAGAAAAAACAAATAGAAAAAAAAGGATAAATACAAGTAGATAAAAACATGAAAAAGTGCTCAAATTTCATATTAAATCAATGAAAACTAAAATAGGACAAGGAATCAGGAATGGGTGAGGATGGCTGTTGTTACAACACTTTTTCATAAAATAGATGAGTATATGAAGATTATTTAAGAAGACTCTGTCTATGGTATCAAAATGGCAAAATAAACTGCCACTGGACATTTTGTTCACTCAATGCTGCTTTAATTCAGGTCCTGCTAACCTCTCATCTGTGCTACAAATAGATTGCCACCCATTTGGCTCATTCTGCAGGGGATGTCAGGATAGTTCCAATCTCGGCATCGTATGCATCTTAAAAATTACTCAGTGGCTCCATATCCCTCCAGTCGAGAGCCCAAACACCAATGCCTTCCATGATCTGGCCCCTGTCCTATTGCTCCGTCTGCATCTCCCATTTCGCCACCCTCTTCCTGGCTTCTAATCCATCCTTTGCATTAAAGAGGAAATTTCCCAGAACTTTTCAGTGAGACAAAAGTATGACTGTCACTGTGAAGCGCCCCATGGCCTGCCTAATTCTCTCACTTTCTGGTGGAATGTTCCTTTGTCTGCTTGGGACCTAGACTCAAGTTAATGCTCATAGGAATTTAATAATTTGCAAGTGATTTTTGTCCAGCATACATGCAAATTCTTTCTTTTCAGGTAAAAGGATTATCCCTAAGTTATTGTTTATTGCCCTATGGGAATCTCTATCTGGTAGAAAAGGTAACCCCCAAAGCTATGATTTTATTTTCCTGTATTTTTGCATCTAACTTAGAAAATTAATTCCATCATTTCTTTCCTGCCTATATACATTTCTGTTCTTCAAATGCTCTGCAAACTAGCTTCACTCCCCTCACTTCTCATTAATAAGTGTTTGGCATATGCTCTTTATGTATTCGTGTGAGTCACATTTTTATCCACATTTTATCCAAAGTGATGCTTTGACACTAGATACTCAACATCTTTTTTAATTCTGGGAACATTCTGTGCAGTTTCATAGCTTTGGATCTTTGCATTTACCAGCCCCTCTCACCCTGGGTCCACCTCCTCCCTTCTTCACATGGAAGAGTCCTATTCCTCCTTCCACACTGTCCTGAAATCTTTATTGGCACCGCCATGCAGCACTAACCACTCTCTCTTTGGACATTCTCTGGACCTTGGTAACTAAACTACACATGGGGCAAGCCGTTTCATTGATTTATTGTATGTACTAGAATTTTAATCCTCCCAGGAGAGCAACACCTTATAGCTACCTCTTTATGTGCAGCACCTAGCTCAGTGTTAGGCGCAGGAAGATGCTCTATGGATGTAGAAATGTCCCATTGGAGAAAACATTGGGGAAGGGCAAGTTCAAGTGAATGGAGAGGATTATGGGGGAAGACCCAGAACTGAGAGGCAGTGAAGGCCAGTAGACGTAAAGATAGAAGTAAGAGAACATGAGGTCTGATGAGGCTTGGAAGAGCCCTGACCAGAGCCGGAGACTTTAACTTGATTTTGATGGGCTTTTCCTCCTGTGCATCCCTGCCTGTGTGCCAGGAGAGCTCCCTGCCTGTGTGCCAGGAGAGCATGCAAGTAAAAGTTTTGTCCCCCTCTTACCTCTTTGCCACAACAGTTTCTGTCTGAAGGTCTGGGCTCTATTATCTTTGCTTCTCCCAATGGAGGACAAATAAAGACAGAGGAACAGGCATGAAACACTAAGCACAGGGCCCAGAGATAGACTGATACTTGACGTAGCTCAAGGGAATTTCCAACTGGCCTGGGACAGGCGAGCCTGAAATGAAAGACACAAGAGGATTATTTGCTTCTGAATCATCTTGCTTCTCATTAAAGAAATTGCTGTTTTGATTGTTTGTTTCTGGAGACCTCCTCCCTGACGGTCAGTGGGGTCATCTCTTCTACCCACGGGGAGGAAGATGGGAGCCACGTGTTGGATCCTAAGTGCCAGGCTTTCAGTTCTGTGTACCATGTAACTTGTTTCATTTCATCTGCAGAATCTCCCTCAAAGTCTATGTGCACACTTTTTATTATTTTATAGGTTGATTAGGAAAGCAGCATGGCATTTTTATGTAATCTGTATAGGTCATGAGGCAGAAAGGAGTGGGGCACCTGGCCAGTGTTCTGCCTCTGCCAACCCTAAGTTATTTCACTTCCTGTGATGCTCTAGGAAGAGATCACTTATTCATTGTGCTCTTCCCTTTGGGGCTTTCTGGTAGACCACAGCAAAGAGCAGTCAGGTGTGCCTGCTGCATCAACTATATAGGAAGGATGGATGGCTGAGGTCACAGGCAAAGAGCACAGAGTCGGCACATGGTAATTTAGGGCAAAGCCCCTGCTCCTGGATATCCCAATAAAGTTGTCCACTTCATCCTCCAGTCATGTAATTAGCCCAGACAATCTTAACATAACATCAGGGTCTTAATCCTTGTCTGCTCTACTTACCAGCTTTGACATGGGGCAAGTTCTTAATATCTCTGAGCCTGACTTGATTCCAAGTTGACACAACTGCTTTGAGTAATGATTGACAGATAGCAATGCTCACTGTGGGGTCAATATGTGGTGGGTGCATAAAGTAAAGGAAAAATAAGTTTTAGATATTATCTTTAACAATATTAAGGCTGATCCTCATGTCATTTAACTTAAAGTCCTGTGACCTGAAGTTATGCTATCCTTTGATCCCTGAGAGGACATTTTATTTTTGTCCTCATATAACTAGATATTTAGTATTTGGAGAAAAACTATTGAGTTTCA